TAGTTATAGAAAATTTAAGTTGTTAAGTCCATAGCATGATATGTTTTGAGTATTTGTAGATCGGTCATTTAATGGTTATTTTTCGAACATCTTATAATTTTTTGCAATGAGAAATTCTTTTGAAATAGTTTCACTGTTAGTAACAGAAAATTAAGAAAAATAACTTGGTTTACCAAAAGCACGCTAATATCAGAACTTTTTTTTTTATCGCTAACTTTCAGAAATTTTTAAAATGCTAATAATTTCTTTGAAAGTTGATTCATAACCAAAAGTAAACCTATATGTGTTAGTGAATTTAAAAAGGAAAAGAATTAATAAAAATTTTAAAAAAAAACTTCCTAATTCAAAACAAACTCTAAGTTTCGTATATTCATATCGATAACATATGATTGCACACATGCGAATTTTTTTTTAGAATTTATTGAAAAGCAATATTAATTTTAAACTGGTTTCCTAATTCAAACTGAGTGTCAATTTGTTTGAATAATTGTTGAATATAAAGATATTAATTACGAGAAAGCGTAAGAAAGAAATCTCATTTCGACCAAACCACGTTATGTTCGAAGTATGTATATCGCTAACGCAAAAGTAGACCCTTTTGCGAATTTTTTATAATTTTTTTTGTAAAGCGAAATTCATTTGAAACTGGATTTATAATTAAAATTAAGAATCAACTTGTTAGAAAACACCCATATACCATATTAACGGTAAGTTAATACTTAAAAGAGGAAAAACTGAAAATGATATCGAGATCAAACTAATCTCTACCGAGAAAAATAGAAATTGGAACATTAAAACTCGTTGGATTTCCGGAAGAAATTGAAAAATAGTTATTAGAAACATTTCCAATGTTTTAGCTTGCAGTTCAACTGGTTTTGATGTTTTCATCATTCCATCTTCCCGACTAGTGATACTTTATATTTATTGTATTTTTATATCATTATTCTTGATAAGGTTTCTAAAAATTTATATTGTGGTTGGTAATTACGGAACACCCTGTTTATGATATTAGTATGTTAGTATAATCCGACATATTTCCGTAACTGACAACACGGAAAATGGATCATTCCGTCTAAATGGACAAAAACTTTCCAAGCTTTCATTCTTAGCTAAAAAGCAAAAATTTTTCTAGATTTGATAGTTATTCTTATTTTGACAATTTTTAAGTATATTAAATTACATGTTAAGTAGAAATTAGATTAAAAATGGTATGCCACAATGCCTTCTATTTTAATAATTAATCTTTATCATTTACTAAAATCGAAAAATGCGATTATTTTTATCCCGATTACAAGTAACTTATTAGCTATAAATAATTTCGAACTCTGATACCTATGATATGTAAATTCAGATTATGATGTTTTCCACTTATACATTCATAACCTTCTTAGGCATTATGATGAAAGGAAATCTCATTTATGTATCCTCTGCTTACAATCTGCTTAAATTTTGACTGCTCAAACACTAAGCTCAATTCATAATAACAAAAACAATATACTACGGAGTACTGTAAATATTTAAAAACTGCGTTTTTAAAATTACGGAAACTGAAGAATATATATTTTTTAACCCTTAGATGGTTATAAACGGGTTCAGCTCGCAATTGAATCGTGCTTCATAATGCGCGCAAACGAGTTCCGCTCGGGAGCAAGATTTCTGTCAGACTATGAATTTCAAAGAACAAGGTTCGAGTAAGAAGAACGGTTAATCAGAGATCACGAGTTCGAAAAACCACTGAAATAGGAAGTTCGAACATTTAAAAATAATTTAAAGACATAATTTGCATATTATTAATTTCGAGTGTTACATTTTCTACCCTCATTTTGCAAATGTTATTTTTTGATTGGATGGTAAATATGCTTGTATATCTATATGACAAATCGAGCTTAGATTTGGGGATTTTGATGATTGTATTGAGTGAATTCTCATGTTATGGAGAGCAGAATACTCTCGAGGATTGTTTTCTTTTGTGATGTTTAAGTTTAGTTATAATTTTTCTTGCTTAATATCATTATGCTTGCTAAGCATTTTCCCCAACGCACTAAACTCTGCCAGCAATTTCGATCGAAATGATTAGAAACGAGCACTACTCGCGTAGTGAAAATTTTCCCCTCGCGCGCTGACGAGATGAGCTCGTTCGCCATTATTATTCTGCATTGATTATATGTTACAAACGAATCCTACTCGCGAAATTTAGTTAGTTTTACTGTCTACAGATAGCAGTACGGGTTCTTTTCATAATGAAGGGATTATTTTTTTTTAACCTTGTATGCGTATTCTGGAGCGTTTTTTAGGGGTGTTTGTAAAGTAAAATGGCTCAAAAGCGAAAGTTGAATAATTATGATGATGATTGTGATACAAAAAGCTTATCAAGTTTTCGTCTGATTGAAAAGATTTTTAGGTAATTACTGTGTTTAAATGCTTCATAAAGTTTTACATTAGTTGTATTTATTTAGTCCTTTCAATTTAATATCTGTCTTATATTTATAATTAACTATTATTTATATAATTGATTATAATCATTTATAATTTACTATTTAATAATTATCATTTATTAATTATTTTAAAGTACGTAAAAACTGCCATTTATGTACTACAAGTACTTTAAGAAATTTTTAAAGAGCGTGAGGCGATCTATCTATGGCATCGCCAGAGAAGAAATGAAGAAATCCGAAATGACATTGTCGGAAGAACGGCGGGGAAAAACAGGTGCCACTTTCAACTACTGTTTGCTCGTAATACTGTGCGAATTAAGTAAACGAAAACTGCTCATTTCCCTCAAAGGATTAATTCATCGAAAATCACATGTATGGTTCAGAAACTTATTTACTAATATAATAATTATTATATATTATTTTTATAAGAGCGAATAATAGCTTAAAAATGGAGAAATTGTTGCTGATATGCTATGCATATAAATGAACCCATATCTCCCCTTAATATTAACCAATAATTTTAAATCGCGACCCTATATTATATTACGATACATTATACAATCGTATTAAAGAAAATTAATTATACAAATATTAGGAAACTAACTATGGGGCACAAAATATTTCTATTGAAAAAGAGCGGGAAAGTACTTAAAGCTTAATATAAGTAGAAAAGCCGTGTGTAGCGTGGCCATTCGTGTTACGAGATAGGAAGCAACAAATAAGTAGACCCAAGGATCAGGCGTTCGAACACGTTTAAGGGTCAATATTTTAAAAATTATAATTCATAAAAATTTATGTTTTTTTTATATTTATTTTACAATATTGTAAAGCAAATAAATATTCCTTTTCCTTACATTGTTATTTTTCTTTTTTCTATGTAAGAATAATAGCTTAAAAATGGAGAAATTGTTGCTCATATACTGTGCATATAAGTGCCTCCCCTTAATATTACCCAATAATTTTCCATTTCGATCAGATATTATATAATAATATGCTATAATACCGTACCTAAGGAAATAATTATCCGCAAATTAAGGGGCCCACGATGGAGCACAATATGGTCTTATTGAAAAAATGTGATTCTAAATTATAGGGGAAATTGTAAACATATTCCCCAAATTCGTCAACAGTTTTGTGATTTGTCTTAAATTATAAGTACATTGGCGGATTTCGGTTTTATAACTATAGTTGAAAATAAAAGCAGAATTTAGGTATTTCTGTAAAAGAAGAGAACACAAGAAAAAGAGTCAATTCCTCACTAAAAGTTCAAAAGAAAAAGGGAAAAAATATATAACTTAAAATTCAATAAAGTTATTTTGCTCAATAAATTTTTCGTTAAAGATGAGATATATTTGTAAAGAGAGAAAAACATTTTTTAACTTATCAACGATCACAGATGCTTTAAAAATGCTACGGATGTGTAATTATTTATTTTACATTTTGTGTTAATTATTTACTAAATAAGAAGATGGCCATTATAGATCTTTGTAGGGGTGATAATTACAGCAACATTTATAAGTAAATTCCAAAATCGTGGCTTAGTATTTAAACAGATCTTTCAGTTAAAGAAAAAAGTTTTTTTACTATTTAATTATTTACCTCATTCGTCTTTCATTCAAAACTTATGAAACAGAGATTTCGTTTTTTATTCAATTTATGTTTTTTTTTCGGGAATCCGTTAAGAGACTTTGGAAAAATAACCCATGGTTATAAAGATAATACCTTAAAAAGTATAAAATAATGAAATAAAATCTACAAGAAATATGTTCAGTTGTAATTTATTTTAATATTTTATTTTTTCAATGCAAATGTTTTTTCTTGTATAAAATTGTTCAGATCGTTTATACCTTATACTACTGAGTAAAAATTTACTTATCTACGAATTATTTAATCCTTTTCAGAAAATTGCTTTATACTAGTAGCATTGTCATTCCTTCAGCATTTGCATTTTTAATTATTTTATGAAGTAGATTCTTGTAAAGTTAATGCCCTTAGAAAAGAAAAATTTTTGTCGAAGCAGAGATTTTAATCTTTTAAATAACTGCACTCATTTATTCTGTTCATGCTCAATAAATTCATTTTAAATCATTGATTCATAGGGATTAATAAAACTTAAAGACTGATATGTAATCACTTACAATTTTATGTTAATATTTTATTTTGAAATAGTAATGAAAGTGTCAGCAGAAGAAGGTTGAAAATAAGTCAAACACTAAAGATCAGTTTCCTTCTCGCTCCCCGTGAAAATGACGGGGTGAGGTTTCGCCCTCTATTTCTCGCTCTCGTTATATTTCCGGTCTGGAGTGCTCAGTAGTAACACGCCAATAAGAATAAAACTAATTCATTTCTTTTGTCCGGAAAACATATTCTTTCTCATTTTACACACCAGAAGGCAGTACCAGGATATTTTTAAAGTAATTGTAGATAGTTAGTTTATTTTAAACTAGATGTCAGCACTAATCAAATAGCACTAATAAAATATAGGCACTTTCATGACCGTTTTCTTGAAAATTAACCAATCGTTAAGGGGTTAACTAAAATATCAAACTGCCATTAGAAAGCATTCTAATTAACATACCTATTCAGCTCCTCAACTTCATCACCCTCATCATCATCATCCCCTACCTCATTATCATTAACTTCATCCTCAACTCCATCATCATCAGATGATGGCACTTCAGCTCTTAACTCCATCGTGTATTCTTCATCACAAAAATTGTAAACGGAATATATATTTTCAAATCTGTTCTGAAGGTAATCGATTTTTATTTTATTTTTAAAAATGTGTGATTTCTAATGATTTGTATGATCTTTGAAGACGACTTCTAGAGTTTCTTTACGTTTAGAGTGTGGAATATAAAACAGTGCATCTTAAGAAGTTTCGATCTCAATTTGTTTTCGTTTGTTAGTTTATTACTGAATTTCACCAGCAGTAGTGTTTTGTGACCAAAATAAGTAAACAGTAAGACCGCTGTTTTAACCCTTTGCGGTCGTATGTCTACTCTCAGCCACCAACGCTTTTTTTACCATTTCAGTCGTATGTCTGCTCTCAGCCCCCACAGCAAAGATGTTAGCCACAGCGTAGTGGCAAACTACATATATTGTGGCACTGTGAAGCTGTAAAGATTGTATTCTGTATGTTCAAACAGAAAAATTGAAGGCGGAAAACGCCAAACTAATTATTTTTAAGACGCATATACTCGAAAACCTGGGCTTTAGATTGGAGATTGCTTTGAAAGATACCCCCCCCCCCGAGAACTATAAAATATAAGTTTTGCATAAAATTAAAATAGAGCCGTGATGGCTCAAGGAATAGAACGTTTGCCTTCCAATGAGGTGAACCGGGTTCGAATCCCACAGATGGCTGGTCGATACGAATCCGCATCCGGCTTGCCCCGACCACAGTGCTGACGTGAAATATCCTCAGTGATAGACGGATCATGGGTTAGAGTCCCTTCACAGTCAGGCAAACCATGGGAGGTTCTCGTGGTCTTCCTCTCCATGTAACGCAAATACGGACANTATGAAGAAAATACCTTAAAAAGTATAAAATAATGAAATAAAATCTACAAGAAATATGTTCAGTTGTAATTTATTTTAATATTTTATTTTTTCAATGCAAATGTTTTTTCTTGTATAAAATTGTTCAGATCGTTTATACCTTATACTACTGAGTAAAAATTTACTTATCTACGAATTATTTAATCCTTTTCAGAAAATTGCTTTATACTAGTAGCATTGTCATTCCTTCAGCATTTGCATTTTTAATTATTTTATGAAGTAGATTCTTGTAAAGTTAATGCCCTTAGAAAAGAAAATTTTTTGTCGAAGCAAAGATTTTAATCTTTTAAATAACTGCACTCATTTATTCTGTTCATGCTCAATAAATTCATTTTAAATCATTGATTCATAGGGATTAATAAAACTTAAAGACTGATATGTAATCACTTACAATTTTATGTTAATATTTTATTTTGAAATAGTAATGAAAGTGTCAGCAGAAGAAGGTTGAAAATAAGTCAAACACTAAAGATCAGTTTCCTTCTCGCTCCCCGTGAAAATGACGGGGTGAGGTTTCGCCCTCTATTTCTCGCTCTCGTTATATTTCCGGTCTGGAGTGCTCAGTAGTAACACGCCAATAAGAATAAAACTAATTCATTTCTTTTGCCCGGAAAACATATTCTTTCTCATTTTACACACCAGAAGGCAGTACCAGGATATTTTTAAAGTAATTGTAGATAGTTAGTTTATTTTAAACTAGATGTCAGCACTAATCAAATAGCACTAATAAAAAGTAGGCACTTTTATGATCGTTTTCTTGAAAGTTAACCAATGGTTAAGGGGTTAACTAAAATATCAAACTGCCATTAGGAAGCATTCTAATTAACATACCTATTCAGCTCCTCAACTTCATCACCCTCATCATCATCATCCCCAACCTCATTATCATTAACTTCATCCTCAACTCCATCATCATCATCAGATGATGGCACCTCAGCTCTTAACTCCATCATGTATTCTTCATCACTAAAGTTTTAAACGGAATATATTTTTTCAAATCTGTTCTGAAGGTAATCAATTTTTATTTTTTTTAAAAATGTGTGATTTCTAATGATTTGTATGATCTTTGAAGGCGACTTCCAGAGTTTCTTTACGTTTAGAGTGTGGAATATAAAACGGTGCATCTTAAGAAGTTTCGATCTAAATATGTTTTCGATTGTTAGTTTATTATTGGATGCGCATTATTGAAATAGACTGTTCATTATTTTAAGTTTGTCATATCTTAGTCGAATTTCACCAGCAGTAGTGTTTTGTGACCAAAATAAGTAAACAGTAAGACAGCTGTTTTAACCCTTTGCGGTCATATGTCTACTCTCAGCCACCAACGTTTTTTTTTACCATTTCAGTCGTTTGTCTGCTTTCAGCCACCACAGCAAAGATGTTAGTCACAGCATAATGGCACACTACATATATTGTGGCACTGTGAAGCTGTAAAGTGTAAAGACTGTATTCTGTATGTTCAAACAGAAAAATTGAAGGCGGAAAACGCCAAACTAATTATTTTTAAGACGCATATTCTCGAAAACCTGAGCTTTATATTGGAGATTGCTTTGAAAGATACCCCCCCCCCGAGAACTATAAAATATAAGTTTTGCATAAAATTAAAATAGAGCCATGATGGCTCAAGGAATAGAACATTCGCCTTCCAATGAGGTGAACCGGGTTCGATTCCCACAGATGGCGGGTCGATACGAATCCGCATCCGGCTTGCACCGACCACAGTGCTGACGTGAAATATTCTCAGTGATAGACGGATCATGGGTTAGAGTCCCTTGACCGTCAGGCTAACCATGGGAGGTTCTCGTGGTCTTCCTCTCCATGTAACGCAAATACAGATATGTTCCACCAAAAAGTCCACCACGAAGGCAAATTTCTCCCAATACTCGATCCAGGAGTTCCCTCGTCTTCTGGATTGGGTTCAAAATTACAAGGCTACGGAGTTGAACAGTGGTAGTTGTAAACTCAAAAATTGGGTCGACTGTTCAACGACGATTATAAAATTAAATTAAAACATATTATTATGTTACATAGTTTAAAGAAAAATTAATAAATTCTATTTTTCTCTCATAATTTTGAATAATATATATTACTGTTAGTTCAACGAAAATTAATTCCGACCAGCATGACACCCATGTATAAACTTAATGCGACCGCAAAGGGTTAAATATTTCGTTGTTTTCAATTGCGTTTTTAGCTTTCTGTGTAAATTTTTCAAATACTCAAAAGGGTACCTTTTTATTGATAAAAAAGAAAGAAAATTATGACAAAAGGCATGGAACTTTAGGGATGTAACTACTTACAAATCATTCTCATCCAAATCAATATCATCCCAATCGAATTCATCTTCGAATTCGCTACCATCCTCATATGCTGAAATATTATTCCAAATTGAATTTGAAAATTTGAATAAAAACTAGTTTTAAAATAATCTCTAAAGGGCTTATTCTGTTCAATTATAAAAGAAAGTTTTACAAATTACCACACTTACTATCTTTTGCAAAATAAAATGAAATTCATAATAAAAGGTAGAAAACCTTCTTTAAAAAAAGTACGTATTTTTGGAAACCTCCATTTTATTTTTAAAAAAATAGCTGTACGGTTGTTCTTCGTACGCTGTAAAAATTTAAATAATCATTAACAGTATGATCAGTTGCTTAATCAAGCACAAAACTGAAAACCATATACCGACACATTTAATGAAGTTTAAATAATTTCATTTTTTCTTTAATTTTTATTACTTATAGAGCTTTCCGGTGACTTTACGTTATTATATTCAGCAAAACCCGCTTTTAAAATATTAACTATATTCAGTGTCATTTGACATTGCGCAATTGCCGAAAGGCTCACTGATCATTGTCAAAATTTACCTCATTAAAGCAATTTTATCCCTTTAAGAGAATCTTAAGAAGCTTATTATACTAAATACCAATATTAGTATATTTAGATCCTATTACCACAGTGTGGTATTAATATATTGTCGAAATTTATCACATTAAAGCAATTTTATCACTTTGCATCACATGCATCAAAATTGTATCACATACAATCAATCATTAAATGATATACTAAGATTGCATCAGATACAGAAAAAAAAACCTTACAGATTACAAGACAGAATCATTCATTGAACCAAGTCACGTATGTCTTTTGAACTATGATGATTTTTAAATGAAATTTTTTTCCACCTTTTGTATTTTTCTTAAAAAGACTTATATTTATAAAACTTGTTAATTACGAAAAAGTGGGAGTTATAACAAAATTGTTTTGTGAAAAGCATAAAATATTTTGTTTAAAAGAAGTATTGCAATGTAAAACTTTTTCAAGTATTTTAACATTGAAAGTAGTTGTAACTACTCCACACGCAAGTGGTGTACCACTAAACCAAGAACCAACGGTAGTAAAACATTGAGAACTGAGCACTTCTTGGTGCTAAGTAGCCCTTAAAATTTTTGTTATTAAGTGAAGTTAAAATTTATAATTACAGCTGGATATAATACACAGTAAAGTTACATTGACATTACAATACAAAGCAGGAATTATAAATTTAGAATATTTCATAATATTTCTTAAAAATAGTTGGGAATATTTCCGTATCCTGATATGGTGCACCAACGACAGTCGCCAAAGTGCCAAATAAGTTTTGAACTCGCAAATTTTTTTTAAAAAAAGCATGTAGATGTTTGCCCGAGGGTGGCTACAATACAAGTTATACCTTTCGAGTTGGTCCCTTTCTGTGATTTTTTTTCCTCGCGGGCAGCTGCTCGCGAGAAAACTTGGCTATTATTCTGCCACAGATTAGTATACGGAAATCTCTCCAATTAGTTTGATGTTTATTAGTTTGAATAAAATTAATTTGTTAATGAAACATACACAAAGCACTTAGAGAATAGTAATATAAATTCGAGAAAGGCTTAACAAACCTAAGCTGAGATAAATTAAATATTATTAAATTATTTAATGTAGTTTATTTACATCTTCGGTGTGAGAACATAATTCTTTTTATATTCTACAACAAAAAATATACTTACCTTTTCATAACTGTTCAGCATCATGCATCTCATTCAGCATTTGAATATCGAACCTTTACCTTTTCGATTGTTAACAAAAATATATCTAACGTTTGACGGTTTCCAAATATATGCCAAGTTTAGCGAAAATGTTTTACAAATGAATTCAAAGCATCTCAGCTTAGTGTAAGCTTAATTATTCATTGGGGTTGACATTTGAAAAATTACTTGAATTAAGGTGTGTGCTAACACTCCATTCGGCAGTAACTTGAAATAACAGACAATATTTCATAGTTTTTTAACACATTTGGATAGGTATTTGCACCACTTTATATATATTGTGAATTAATAACACTCAAATGGGTAATTAACGTTCTAGCGTAATATACCCAGATAGCAAAAAAAAAGATTTATTGTAACTCAGCAAAACCCTTTTAATGTAAACCTAAAAAGGTTTGTTATGTGGTTTACATGTAAACCTTCTAATCAGAGCCGGATTATACCTTTCGTAGGCCCTAGGCACAGAGCCGGATTATACCTTTCGTGGGCCCTAGGCAGAGCCGTTTTTGGGCCCTCCCCTCCTTCCCCCACCCCTCCCCTCTTTTCAAAATATATGCTAAATTTTTCTTTGCATATTTTACATTTTTATTAAAATGGATTTTAATTTACAAATTTGTTTATCGAACTTTATCTGCAATTCGACAGCATAATACAAGATTTCGTTGAATCCAAAAATCGCAAAAAAGTAATATATTAGATCATAAGATTCTGCAAAATAATTTATTACCGTAAAATATTATATTTTTATTTGTATCTTCATAATTTTGTGCAAAATACACTTGTTGTTTTTAAAGCTAAATTATTTTTGTCAACAAATTTTTTTCTAATAAGTTTTTTGTAGGCCCCTGAATTTCGTAGGCCCTAGGCACGTGCCTAGTGTGCCTATAGGTTAATCCGGCCCTGCTTCTAACCTTAAAGCGAGATTTGTGACAATCTGCTCTATTCTACGCACATTACTTTAATCCAAAACCTTGGAAAACATTCTTCGATATAAAAACCTTAAATCGAGGTTGATTTAGGGTTTTCAAGCATGAAAACATCCCTTAATAAAGCTAATCTCAAGGCGAAAATAATCTTAAATCTAGGTCATTAAAAGGGTTTCTTTTCACAACGTCTTGTATGCTCAGCTAAAATCCACCTTGTCATGAAATTTTAATGGACAATTTAGATTGATCCTATCGCTAGTGTGACGTCAGCTAAAACGCCATTATGGGCCAAAGTCATTATGGGCCAAATGACAATACTTTTTAAAAAAGCTTTAAAAAATAATTTTTAATCCTTTTAGGATAAAAGGTTTAAAACTGCAATATTTTTCCTTTATTGAAAAAAGGTTTTAAAAAAAAATTCCGACGCAAGATTGCCGTTATGTCACATGCTATCTGGGATATTTACTTTTTTAAATATTTGAATCAGATATAGAAGAACGTAAAATCTGTATCATATTTATGCTTCTCAGTAAAAAGTAGCAATTGGTTGCCACTTTTCAAGTCTTTATTTGGAAGGGTTTTTTTTCTTCTTTTTTATGTTCTTGCAAAACAGGAAACAGGGAGAACTGTTTCAAATTTAGTTTTTTTTTTTTTTTTTTTTTTTTTTTTTTTTTNGTTTCAAAGTGAGATTTTTGTTTGTTTTCGAGAAATTGAGCAAAGTAGGAAATAAGAAATCTGGATAGAAACAACTGGAAAATGGCAGATTGGAGAGCCCAATTCCATACTCTAATCTATTTTGCCTCCAATTTCTATTTGAACATTTCTTTATTTGTTATCTATCTGTAGTGCATCAAAAGTTAAATTGGATTTCCCATTTCAAAAAGAGAAGTTTTATTAAATTTTCCATAAAGTTGTTTTTTTAATTTAAGACAAAAGTATCAGTTATAAAATATGCTTAAACATTTTATTGTCAATTTTTTTTGAAGTTATACTTCTTATACGACTTCAAACAAGGTTGCGTTAAACGTTTAACGCTACATTTTTATTGGCCGGGAAATCATATGGTAGGATCCAGTTTTCCCTCATTCATTTCCATATTGTTTTGGTTCTCACTAGCATAAAAATAATAAAAGTCATAAAAGTATTGTTTTTCCATAAATATTTTTTTAGTTCGATTTGCTACACATATAATTTAATAGGATAGCATTTTTTATTTTCAAATTTAGTGGATAACAATGGTAAAAAATGAGTGAAAATAATCCCATGGACAATGCGATTGACTTAAGGTTATGTCAATGTACGTCTCTTGTGAATATCAATTGATTGTTAGGTTTTCTCTTCTGAAATTACATTATGACGCATTCACATACATTATTAATACAAATACATTTTCCAGGGCGAGACGATGAGGCAACCACAAGCACTTCCACTGGTTCAAGAGGTCCACGAGGGAAAAATGCACAATATTACCGTTATTACAGAGCACGGAAGCGAGTGGAGCAGGAAAGAGAGTCGTTGAATAGAACTAGAAACCCTTCTACGACTGCTGATTCTTCTACAATTAACGTCGCAGGTTACGAAGTTTAACGTCTTCCGCGCGGAGGGACTCCACGCACTATTTTTTGTTTACGAAATTTTCTCAATCTTCATTAAATTTATATTTCTGGGGAAAATTTTGATCACTGTACTGAAGTTTCATCTTCTTAACAATAATCTAGGTCCATATCAATAAATAATAAAAAAATATTAAAAAAATATGTTTTTATGCTTACGATTAGGTCGGGGATACTTTCCTTTCTCCAATGATTCAAGAGAGCAAAACGATATAAATCGCTTTTATCCATAATTCTCACTTTTTAATTTCACAAAAGACTACCAGCATTTAAGAAATCTCAAACAAGAATGAGTGAAAAAAAAACTTTTTTAATCGAACTAACACATGCTTCGTTTGCAACAATATGAACAATTGTTTAAATAATATGTTGCATAATATTTTTATATAACTCTCCATTAGTTTATTGTTGTAAAAGTTTAAATGTTAAGTATTGTTGAAAATGTTTTTATAAGTTGGTTACTCTAAATTAAATGCAAGAAAAAATAATATTAATGATCGATTTCAGAATTAAGTTTAAGAAAACTGATTTCTTTCATACACTTTTACTTATTTAAAGGATACACTTGACATAGAAAAATTATTTTAACTTTGCTTTAAGTAAAACGTATAAAAACAGGGAAGAGATTATTAATTTCTTTTTAAAAAAATTCATTTTTTTGGAAATTGACTCTTTAAATTTAAACCATCTCAAGGAGTTAATCTATACTTTGGGCAAATATGGGTTCCACTTCCCCTTTACACTATACTGATCTTAAATAATTTTATTTATTTATTTATTTTATTTATTAATTATTTTATTTATTAGTTTATTTTATCTATCATTATTTTTATTAAGTGTTGCGAAACGAACTGACTCACTTATTCATTTACTNGCGAGCGGAGCAGGAAAAAGAGTCGTTGAATAGAACTAGTGATCCTTCTACGACTGCTGATTCTTCTACAATTAACGTCGCAGGTTACGAAGTTTAACGTCTTCCGCGCGGAGGGACTCCACGCACTATTTTTTGTTTACGAAATTTTCTCAATCTTCATTAAATTTATATTTCTGGGGAAAATTTTGATCACTGTACTGAAGTTTCATATCTTCTTAACAATATTCTAGGTCCATGTCAATAAATAATAAAAATTTTAAAAAAATATATTACAAAATATGTTTTTATACTTACGATTAGGTCGGGGATACTTTTCCCTTTCCTTTCTCCAATGATTTGAAATAGCAAAACGATATAAATCGCTTTTATCCATAATTCTCACTTTTTAATTTCACAAAAGACTACCAGCATTTGAGAAATCTCAAACAAGAATGAGTGGGAAAAAAAACTTTTTTAATCGAACTAACACATGCTTCGTTTGCAACAATGTGAACAATTGGTTACTCTAAATTAAATGCAAGATAAAATAATATTAATGATCGATTTCAGAATTAAGTTTAAGAAAACTGGTTTCTTTCATACACTTTTATTTATTTAAAGGATACACTTGACATAGAAAAATTATTTTGACTTTGCTTTAAGTAAAACGTATAAAAACAGGGAAGAGATTATTATTTTCTTTTTAAAAAAATTCATTTTTTTGGAAATTGACTCCTTAAATTTAAACCATCTCAAGGAGTTAATCCATACTTTGGGCAAATATGGGTTCCACTTCCCCTTTACACTATACTGATCTTAAATAATTTTATTTATTAATTTATTTTACTTATTAATTATTTTATTTATTAGTTTATTTTATCTATCATTATTTTTATTAAGTGTTGCGAAACGAACTGACTCACTTATTCATTTACTTATTTAGTGGTTTTGAGAAAAAATTTGAATATTAACTTTAGTAAAAACTTTGAAAATCGATAGTAGAGTGGTTAAAGCACTAAGTTGTCATGATGAAAGTCTGGATTCGATCTTCGGCTGCGTTTTAAAGTCTACCCAGCTTCAAAACGATGGGTCCAAGTTTGGATGTGAAGTAAAGGCTGTCGATGCGCAATTCTGGATGCATTGCCACCACTTTGGTGGTTGTCTCAAAATTGTGAATCTTCAACCTTTTTGACATTCCATAACCCACAACGAGATGTTGCTGGAATGTTTATTGTTTTTGGTAAAAAATTAAAACCAATGGTCTCTATAGCAACGAAAATCATTAAATGAAGACTAGTTAAAGTAGTACACCAAATATTTTAAAAATAACGTAAGCTTCCTTTTATTTTAGACTTAAGATAATAGCTAAATAGCACATATATTCTCTCATTGCGTGTGTTGAATGTTTTTACTTTTTGCAAATCCATAACCGCCATAGCATTAGATATCAAACATCGGTAACAATATAGCTGAATTTGAGCAGAGAAATAATCATTAATGTTTAAACGTAAGGGGGCAAAAGCGAATACGAAAAGGAGGGAGAAAAAAATATTAATAGAATTGAAAAAAATATTAATAGAATTTAATTCATAATTCATTACAGAATTGAAAAATGCATTACTTTGCATACTGTGTTTTTTATAATACGAAAAGAAATAGAAAGATTTTATGCAATAAACTGTTCCTTAATTAGCTGAAATTTAAATTCAGTTTAATAATTAAATCAAATTTTAAATTGAATTGAAATCTAAAACTTAAAAAACAATACAAAATACATCGGTTGGGAAATGATAAGAGTTATGAAAGATTTAACCCAAGATAACTAAACTTTCGCCTAACAGAATACTAACCGAGACAGGCTCATACAGGCTATAGCGCTGCTATACACTCTTTATTTTTAGAGATTGATTTTAATCGTCGTCGAATGTTCAGTTATAACATGTAGAAATTTTATTTTATAAACAGCCGACTCAATTTATGGGTTTACGACTACTAACGTTCAACTCCATAGCCTTGAAATTTTGAACCCAATCCAGAAGACAATGGAACTCCTGGATCAAATAATGAAAGAAAGTTTGCTTTCGTGGAGGATTTTTTGATGGAACAAACCCGCATTCACGTTACATGGAGAGGAAGACCACGAAAACCCTCCCATGGTTAGCCTGACTCTTACGGAATCTTACCCATGATCCGTCTACCACTNAATTTATGGGTTTACGACTACTAACGTTCAACTCCATAGCCTTGAAATTTTGAACCCAATCCAGAAGACAAGGAAACTCCTGGATCAAATAAGGAAAGAAATTTTGCTTTCGTGGAAGATTTTTTGATGGAACAAACCCGCATTCGCGTTACATGGAGAGGAAGACCATGAAAACCCTCCCATTGTTAGCCTGACTGTTACGGAATCTTACCCATGATCCGTCTACCACTGAGGGTATTTCGCTTCTGCACTGTGGTCGGTGTGAGCCGGATGCGGAATTCGTATCGACAAGCCATCGCTGAGATTCGAATCCGGGTTACCTCATTAGAAGGTGAACGCTCTGTCTCCTGAGCCACCATGACTCACTTGTAGAAATTCAGGTCAATGCCATTATCGGCTTTTTAAGTTTTTTCTGCATTTTATTATATTTATATTTTTTTTTATTCTGTTAATGATAGAAACGGAGAATGTCAACACATGTCTGCAACAAGGCTGTTGGTATAGAGCATACACTGTAATTTCTACCATATTTTTTTTTTCTTATTTAAATATTTTACTTCTTTAAGTTTTGATAATTTCTTTGAAATGAAAGGAAAAAAATTTTTTCTTATTCGTATTAATCGAATTATAGATTAACATTGTATTGAATTATAAATTAACTTATAGATTAACAATTATCTAGGGTTAAAGTCCCTGCAATTGCTCATTTCTAAGAATTTTACAGATATTTGATACGCAGGAACTTCTCAGCAGACTCCAAAGGATTCTGTTCCGCTATGCTATTGACATTACTAACTTCAGTAATGAGGATAAGAAAAAGTAAGTTCAGTTTAAAAAATTGTTAAAAATTCAAGATTAAGGACACGTGATGATCACACATGAAGAACAGATAATTTTGTGAATTTTCCGATATTTTAACCAAATGTAATCCCTAATGCTAAGTTTCCTGTATGTCCTTAGTTTTAACTCTTTCATTAATATGAAGTGGATGTATAGACCACAAAGCCAATATATGACTTTTGTCGCGCCATATTAAAATTCTACTCAAGGTAAAACCGAAAAAAGTTAGAAATTTAAATTGAAGGAGGTCAGGAAATTCTCTAGATGTCTGGAACCTCCATTTATGTGAAAGCCTCGATACAAAAGAATAATATATTCAGAAACTAACACATTTAAAGTTTGTATTGTTAAAACACTCCAAGTTTTTCTACATAAGCTAACGTAGATTTAGTGAATTCTGAGGAATTATTGAAATGCCGTTTAAACTAAATTTGTATCAGTTAAAATTAGATTTAAGTAAATCTCAGTTTTCACCCCCAACCCCCCACCAAAGAGGTCTATACATTTATGCTAAAAACGAGAGTTTAAACGTTATTGATATCAAATAAAGAAATTTAGTGCTTTCTGATGTCCTTGTCAGTGGGAATCTAAAATTGTCTTACTTTTTCTCAGGGTATAAAATCCTACCCTCTTTGCCCAAAATGCCACCAACATCAGGCTTCATTAGCTCAAAATATTTTAAATTGCTTGAGACTTGTTTCCGACTCTTTTCTCGTCAACGGGATCTTTGGAGATGCTTTCTGTCTTGCCTTTATATGATGAATGGGAATGAACTATCCTCAGTCATTTATTTAGTCGACATGCCAACCAGGTGGCCGAGTGGTTAGCTTGCCTGCCTGCGGAGCCGATGGTTACGGGTTCGAATCCCGCTCAGGGCATGGATTGTGCTGTCCTCTGTTGTGTGAATGTGACCCACCCTATGATCGGGTATTTGTGGCAGTGTGGCATGGGTAATGTTGCTCGCCTCCGTGACTTTGGTTCACGGGTGCTCACTGGGTAATGATAAAGGAGTAGCACTTCCGGCATCTTCTAAGGCGAAGTACGAAAGTTCAGTGCCTGCCGTTTTTACAAAAAATTCGTATCAGTTGTTTAATTTTAGTTTTGTTACTGATTAGCATTTCTAAAAATCGTGTATTTGCAGTAACTCTTGGAACTCTAATCAGTTATAAAATTGATAACTAACAAATAAGGATGGATCCCACACAACACTTATTCCTCTAAAAGAAAAAGAATGAAGCAGGGCCTTGAATTTATGGGCCATATGCATGATTTCACAATTGCAATCAGTTGTTTATTTTTAGTTTTTTTACTGATTAGCATTTCTAAAAATTAGATAATGAAACTGTATTAAATATTTCAATGTTTTATAATATTCATATTTACAATGATTTTCTATACCAGTATAATATTTTAAAGTGCAGTAATGTAATAAAGAACTTCTGACGTATTTTTGTGAACTATATTTAAAGAAATCAATAATTTTTTTGAAATAGAGATGTTTTGTTGAAAATGTTTTTACGTATTACTTAAATATATGTTTAATATTTTTACATGCGTTCTTCAAGTCAGTTTATATATTATTATGTTAATTATATTCGCCCTACATCTGAAAAAAATTCAAATTCTTACACTTATATTTTAAAACTTACTTTTAATGTTCAAATTACAACAGATTAGTTCAAATTACAACTGATTAGTTGGCTTTATTAAATAAATTAAAAGCAAATGTGTTTGAATAGAAATAAAGCAATATTTTAAGCAAAAATCTGTTTTCTTCAAAAGTTTGTCTTCATATATATATATATTATATTATATTATATTATATTATATTAAATAATAATAATATTGCATAATATAGGTTAAATAAAATAATAAAAACATATGCCTTTTATTGTTTCCACTAATCAACTACTGAAAAATATTTATTCTATCGTATAAACATNTATATATATATATATATATATATATATATGCTGATTGTTTCATTGCAAATTGTGCCAGGTTGGTAAGGTAATTTGAAGGAGTTAAAGAAACATTTTATTATTGATGTTGCAGAAAAAGCATTTGATAATTTTTGTTTCATTTGTAAAAGTTTTTTTGGCATAATATGATTAACAAATCTGAAAACAATACTTAAATTAAAATTAACAATTAAAAAAAATTGACAATCGAATTTCGGCTTATTTTATAAATCACATTTATCGTCTTCTCATAAAAGGCTAAGTTCAGGTTTTTTACTTGTACTATTTGTTACAATTTCCTGTTTCGAATTTTTTTTCAATTGTTGATAATTATTTTGTAAAAAGTTTTTTTAATTGATTTAACATTTATGATGAATAATAATAAAATATTAATACTAGACAGGCTTTTTATTTTAAAAATTTATTTTAAGTTTCCCTCATAATAGTCTAGTTTATATACGCTCAGAAATTTTGAAGAAAAAAAAAATTACCTAGTGAAGAGTATTGGATGAATTTATATTAGTCTAATATTTTTAAAAATTATCTTTCTAATGATATTTTTTTGCAATCAAATTAAAAGTATTTCAATAGGAAGAAATTATTTGAGTGTTTTTGTTAATACCTATTTTCATTATTGTGAATTTAAATTTCTCAAACAAAATTGGATTAAAGGATGCTAAGAATTTGATGCTTTCATTATTCGTAATTTTGAAGATGCTGATGTCTTAAAGAATATTTATCCTGGAGAACTAAACTTAATCAAAAATAATAATAATAAACAAGCTCATTTTTTAGATTTAGATATAAAAGTAAATAAAGAAGTGCAAACTATTTTTTTTTTATGATAAAAGAATAGAATTTAATGTGATTATACTTACTAATTTTAACTCGAATTTATATTTTAAAATTTTTAGAAATTTTTTTACAATTAGTTTCAAGAAATAAATTTTTTTTTTAATAGATACAGAATTTATTAAAGCTATGAAAATTTTTGAAATAAACTGAGAATATAATAATTGTCTAAATCTTAAATTATTAATTGAATATCGTCTGTTTGATTTTTTTTTNAAATTTTTTTTTTTTTTTTTTAAATTTTGTTGATATTTAAGATTTATGTTGATATTAAGCACTACTTGGCGAAGCACTACTTAGTGTTTCTATTTCCTTATAACGCTTTCTCATGGTTAAATCTGCTTTTTAAATCTGTTTGGTAGATGGCAGCACTAACTGATTACATTTTGATAGGTTCCACAATAATTTGTAACTATATTTTGAACTGATGATACACATTTCTCTGAATGTTTCATTATGATTGCAAGTGTAGTTTGCTAATTTGACACGTTTCTTTATTTAAATTTCAAATAGCTTTGTGTAATGTTGTTCTTTGTTGAGTTGATTGAGATTTTTCCCTGTATTCATTTACTCATTTTAGTTCAAAAGTTATTTTGCTTTTCATTTATTGAATATAAACTTATTTTTTCTATATTTTATGTATTTTTTTTTTCAAATGGGGGCTCGGAACACAACCCCTTTATTTTGTAAAGCAGTTTCTCACACAAAAGCTCCGATTTGAAGGCATGTAAGATGTCTCTTAGAGGCAGGGTACTTCAGGAGATAATGAATGCATTCATGTATTTTTCATTTTACTTTTCTATTTCAATTTAAGCATAATTATCTAATTGTTTTGAAAACATAAATTTTTTGTTATAGATTCAGTACACTTTTGTAAATCTTTTGCGGAATTAGTAGAATCGAACGATCTGGCATCCTCAAGAATTCTACTGTTTCTTCTTTCAAAACTAACAATTATCAGTTTTCTCTGTTTTTATTTACTTTTTTCTCTATTCTGCTTGTTTTCTAGATCAATTTTATGATCTTTTAAGTTGTTTATAGATAGTAAAAAGTGAAATTCTAAACGGAAACAATTTTATTTTATTTCTGAAATACTCTTACTGATGTCAAAAATACACATTCAATTAGTCCTATAATTTTACTAAACAAATGTATTTCTTATTTATTTTTAAGGTGCTATTACTCAGTAAGTATTTATCTATAGTTTGTCTACGGTAAGAACTCCAAACAAGAATAGCACATGAAAACAAGAATAGCGCATTTTAGGGAGGGTAGCTTCTCTAACAATGCTAGCTTCTCTAACTAACACCAAAACCTGTCCTAAACAATGACCCCACACCACTACTTGAAACAGTTATATCTCGTTACCATAATCACCGCCACTGGTTCAGACGAATGGCTAGGGGAGTTCTTACTTCAGACAAACTATAATAGGTTGGAAATGGAAGCATTTTAATGCAATTTTATTTTTAACTTCAAATGATAAAATTAAATTTTTATTCAACACTATTAGTGATATAAAACTTTGAATTAAAGGGTTTTACAATTTTGTATAAATTAAATGAGTTTCAAAAGTGAATTTAAGAATTTATAAATGTGTAACTTTATTTTCTGCAATATTTAATAACTTATAGCATTGTTTAAAAACATATTTTGTGCCTAATTAATACTTTGTAGTGTATCTACCACTACAAAAATATAATTCCGATTCACTAGTATATAAGACATGTTAACTCGATTCTATGGTGGAGTACCTTTTCATAAATGCAGGTTGACTTTGTCGATTACTCACTTCCCACATTGGTGACACGGACGTGATGTGAACATGCCTACCTTTACAGAAACTCCCATTCCGAAATGATCACGCCTATCTTAACAGTAACGCCTACTTCAATTTGAATACGCCTACTTCGATGGATGGTCCACATTGAACAGTTGACTTGCTACTTGTGATTGAGACATTGTCCTCCTCACGCTGATGCTTCTCGATCACACGCAACGTATACACTCGACTGCTAAAAGTCAACACAGACTCGTCCACGATCATGAACTTAATACACCTCTCACGACCATCACTTAAAAAAGTACGGTGATCTCAATACAGCTCTCCCGGCTTCTCACAAAGCAGCAATGACTCAACTAGTAGTATCCATTCATCGAATTCTATCACAGCTATAATTCTGGTGGGGGAGTACTGTAGTGTATCTACCACTACAAAGTTACAATTACAATTCACTAGTATATAAGACATGTTAACTCGATACTATGGTGGGGTCCTTTTCATAGATGCAGGTTGACATGGTCAACAACAACTCTCTCCACAATTTGTTATAAAACTACAGTATATCGTTATCTAGAGAAATCAGATCGAAGTTAAGAGTAAAATCACCAAAAAACTAAGTTATGTGTCAAATGAAGCTAAAACATAGCTCCTAACAAACATATAACTCTTTTCAGTTTCAGATAGCAAATAAATTAGCAACTATTGGAACTGTTTGATTGTTATTAAACTATGTAGGTTTTTCTTTGTGATAACATTAAAATTCATTAAAAACAATGCTTAAATTTAAATATGGTGACATTTTTATTAAAATCTACATGCCTTTCTGTGTCACAATAATAGAAAGTCTAGTATAAAAGAGCAAAAGTCTTCTATCCTGCTGGTGAATGTGTACCATTATAACACCAAAACGTGCATAGTCTTTAATAAAAACGTTACCGCTTGTGATTTTAAATGTAGTTTCTAATGAATTTTGGTTAATTGTTATTTGACCTTCCAAAATGGTATACTATTGATTTCAATATACTTAATCAGTTCAGATTATGAAGAAAGTTTTAAAAAATTTTATCGTGATTGTATAGTAATTCATAGGGTCTTCAATGCCTTCTGATGATAAGTGTAATAATGCTCCAGAAAGTGAATTACATTCGCTATAAGGGTACTGAGAGAGGTTTCGTATTAACTCCAACAAGTATCAGTTTTTTCAGCGAAATCTCTTTTTCTCAGTGAATGATCAATCTCCAATTCAGTACCCCCAGAGGTATTGGTTCATTATAGGAACAAGGAGGGCTTTGCGACTCGACAGATTTAACGTGCATCAGTCACCATTTTACTATACGGTCTTCAGCCGGCAGGGTTCGAACCCACGAACTTTCGGACATGGGCCCAGCACCCTACCGACCAGGCAATCCCAGCCCAGTTTGTCAACTTACAAATAATTATTAAATAAACAATCATTTGTAAGTTGAAAAAAATTTGAAAGTTAGTCTCAATATATCAACCTTAACAACCTTTGTCATAAATGGAATATAAATATTATGGGTATGCATAGTAAAAAGTATGCATATTATGGGTTATAAATTTATGTATAAATAAGATAGAAACAAAAACACCATCGAAATCTGTCAAAGTTTTAGTGCAAAAAACGTTATAAAAATACTAAAACCAGTTTCATTTCCTGATGAAACCTAGGGTGGTTTCTAATGATCACCTCTCTATTTCTTCCAGTAATCCCTCTGGTTTTGATGTTTACAATCTTGCCTTCCTCAGTAGTGATTCATTAAATTTCTAAAAGCTTTTGTGCTTTCCTTTTCAGAATAAAAGAAACAAAAATTTGCTCAAATTTGTTTTTTATTTTTAAATAACTTTATTTTTTCAAAAGTTGTATAAACAAATGGATTTGGTTTTGAAAAATTTTATGAAAAATACTAACATACAGTGAACAATGATAAATAACGATACAGTTAAAAATTAAAAACACATACAGCTGTATATTACATTCTATGTTTATATTTAAAAATATTTTGATGATTGCATTGAAAATCCTCTGACTTATAAAAGGCAATTTCTAAGTTTTATAAAAAAATACATAATAAAATCTTTTAAAAGAGCAAGAGCTTTCACTAGCGCAAAATTGATACTGGTATAAATATACTACAAACGTTATTCGTTATTCTATTGTTATTCTAATATGTTTTTTTATAATAATATACATAAATAAGTATTGAATANATTTGAATATCTTTATATATATATATACATACACACAGCAAAATAAATAAATATATAAAAGCACGAAGAAAATTAAGAAAAACAATAAGTTTTGTTCACTGCGCATAAGCTGCATGTAAATAGAACTCATAAAATAAGTTCAAAATGTAGAAAATTATAGAACAATGAAAAAAAAGGGGGAAGAAAAATAATAATAAAAATAAGAAACTGGAAAGGAAAAAAAATAAATAAATAAAAATCCGGAAAATAAAAGATATAATCTTTTCATCAGCTCACACGATTATATCCGCAAAAAGGAGTGCTTTCTAACTTCTTTTCGCTTAGATTATATTGGAAAATAAAAAATTATATCTTTAATTTTCCGAATTTTTATTTATTTATTTTTATTTCCTTTCCAGTTTCTTGTTATTTTTATTATTATTTTTATTATTATTTTTCTTTTCCCTACTTTTTTACTTGTTCTGTAATTTCTTCCATGTTTTCTCTACATTTTAAACTTACACGCACACACACACACATATGTATATATATACATACTATAATACTAAAATAACTTTTTTAAAAAAAAATTAATAAATTGCACTGCTGTTAGTATATTAAAATGACTTTGCACTAGCACTGACTGTTTTGTATGGGTAAAAAATTTTATTGAACTTCAAAATGTCATTTTCCAGGCATGTCCCTAACAATGTTTCCAATAATAACTAGCTTCAAAACTTCCCATAAATTTTTCAATATCTAATTTTTTTTATCTCAAGCGGTGTAAGCATATCTAAAATATACGTAGAGGATATTATTTACAAAAACTTCGTTTAAAAAAAGATTTTCTGTCAATAATTTGTTTGTCCCAAGAAAATCTGTCATTTTCCTGGCTACTTTTATTTAGTGGTTTACAGCCAAAACAAATAGAGCCAGCAATCGATATCTTATGTTAATAGATTGATTTATTTAATATTTTGTTTAAATATTTTGTATAAATATTTCGTTTAAAAGTCTTTTTTTTTTAAAAAAAATTTTAAATTTATTTTGTTTTGTGAAAAAATTTTTAAAACAATTAGCATTTTATAACTAGATTTTATGAAGTGTAGTAAATTTGATTTAATAGTAGTTTTGTAAACGGCTGTTTCAAAAAAATAGGTGGGATATGAATTGTAAAAAAAATAATAAAAACGAAAAAAAATTATATAAATCTATTTTAAGCGCTATAAACACATTTTATAGTCCTTACATATTTTTTATGACCAATACATAACATATATATATTTAATTTACGTTACATACATATACATACACTTGAATCCATGATTCAAACTAGCGGCATGAAAAAAATCATGAATAATCAGTATCGTATGATAATCACGAATAATAAATAATCAAATCACGAATAATTTTTTCCCTTGTCTTTGAATCATTCTTCGACTTTTTTGTTGTCTTTTCGGGATTCCTGAAAATGAATTGAAAAAAAGTAAAACAAGTACATTATGAGTGAGACTAGTGTTCCAAAAACTAGTGAGTTCGACCCAATCTCTGCCGAAATGCCCGATCCAGCAGGCGAAAACTGACGAGTTTGAGGGCAATAAGTGATAAGTAGAGCCCGGATTTTGATGACCTAAAAAATCTCAACTATTGCCCTTAAAAAGGGCAAAAAAATGCCCTTAAAAATGCAGATACTATGGTGGGGTCCTTNAGTAGAGCCCGGATTTTGATGACCTAAAAAATCTCAACTAATGCCCTTAAAAAGTGCAAAAAATACCCTTAAAAATGCAAAAATTGCGCAATAAATGCCTTAAATAAAGTAAAAATATTGAATTAAAAAAATGTTTTGCTCTTTAAAATTATTATGAGTCATTTAAAAAATATAAAGCAATGCAAAACTTGTTCTACGCTCATTAAAGTTTGAAAAATGTTTTATATCCTGAAATAACAAAAAAAGGAAAATATATAGACACCCTAAATATTTTTATTTTGTACAGAAACTTTAATGGATATAACAACTTCCATCCCATAATATTACTAAATATCAGAATTACATTGGATTATTAAATGTTTTTTGATAATTTGAAATGTAAACGAGCGTCTCTTGTCTCAAAGTAAATTTTCATTCCTGCAGAAGCTTCTTTCAACGTCTACTGATGTTAATGGTGCGTACTTGAGAAAAAGACGGTCTCACTTACTGACAATTCTTCTTTAATTTGAAAAGAATTTTTCTTTATATCCTATAGATTTTCTTCCTTGTTTGGAAGTCAGTGTAATAATGAAAATTGATTAAAAAAAATAATAAAAATTGGAAAAAATTTGCAAAAAACTTTAAAAAATGAATTAAAATGCAATATACACCCCAAAATTTAAAGAAAAATGCCCTATAAATCTAAAAAAAAATGCTCTAAAAGACAAAAAATGCAAATGTCATCAAAATCCGGGCCTTACT